AATTAATATTTTATTTTATTATTTATTTAGAAAAACGTGTTAATTGTAATTAATTTTAAATAAAATAAATAATAAAAATTCAACAATAATCAAAAAGCATTTAATGTTACAATATAGAGAAAGATGAGATTAAATTTGTCATTTAAATTTTGAAGATAAAATTGCGATAATATTTACAAATAAATCGCTTAAAACGTATTAAAATTATTGAGTAATTGTTAAAATTTTGTAATAATTTACACTAGAATCAAATTATAATTGTAAGTTCTAAATTCTTTTTTAATGTATATATTAACTTCAAACGCAAATCTTTAAGAGAAAGAAGAAGCTCAAGAGCAATAGAATACACTAAAATTGTTTATTCCACATCGAGTAAATATAGAAAAATCATTCAGTACATTAAGAAAAATAAAGTAATAATAAATTAAAATTTTAAGAATCGATATATTTTATAACATTTTATATAAGTGAGATTCATATTATTGAAGGGATAAAAAGATATTTTCCTGAATGCAATAATTCATCTGAGCTTTTAAAGGTTTAAATTTTAAAATGAAAAATAGTTTAGTCACACCTGCAACAAGTGTAAATATTCCGCTCAGACAGCTTCAGTATAAGTTTATTTTATGTTGATCCACTATAAAATTGTTCTTAGCAGATAATATTTATGAATAGAATTTTGTTTAGATATATTAATTTAAAAAAAACAAAAACAATTTCTGTGTTTTGGCAGCAATTTTCAGAAATTCTAAATCTATAAATTCCCACTGGCGTCCATCTGTCAGTTTGTTTGTATCTCCTTCCTTAATTTCGAGAATAGGTTTAGATAGATGAAAAGCTTAGGGCCAGGAGGCCCCTATTAACTATATTCCGGCACAACTCTATTGTTATCAGGAAAAGTATGATTTACAGGGGCAACACGCTACTAAAATTGAGAGCAATGTGACAATATCACACTAAATGATTATACTGTAAATATTGATAAATATTAATATAATATTTTTAAAAGTTATTTTAAAGTAGAGAATTGAAACCGTTATCAATATGAAATGAATTGGGGATAAAAAAAATTATATTTACTTTATAAAATACTCTTTATTTTATAAAAATTTGATATTCTCAGTTTCAATAGACTCAATAGTACAGACAGACTTACTAACGTAGAGTGAGAAAATAGTAAACTATTTCCTTCAAAACATGATTTAAAATAATGGAAACGATATACTCATCTATTTACTTTTCAGTTATAATATATTTATATTGATATATTTCAAGAAATGCACATATTTTACATTATCTATCAATATATTTTTATTGACGGTGCATGATATATTAGTGGATTTACACGATGGTGATTCATTAGAAACACGTGCATAAATAAAATATAGAATCTTATCCTGTAAGAGCTCTCAAGTGTTCCTTAAAGGCTCTAAAGACTCGTATTTAAAATATTAAACATCTTTAAAGTATTTTATAATTATATAATGAGAAAAAATAAATTCGTTTAAGTGATATTCTTTTATTAAAGTGTAAGAGATTTGGGAATATTTTAGAAAAATTTTAAATAAATTGATATTATAAAACTAAAAAATGATCGATATTAATTTATTTTAATATTTTAAAGTTATTTATAACTGGTAAATGTTTACGTTATAGACAGACAAGCGATAATGTTAATTTTAGAGAATATTCTTATAAATATTTTCAAATTCATCGCATTGTATTTTGAAGATAATATATACTATAATTAACTAGAATAAGTTGAGTAAAAGATAATGAAAGGAAGTACAAAATTTGGTGCAATTATAGAAGAGACAACGATATCAATTTAATGTCGATTTTAATAATAGTCTCTTCACTCAAATAATGGAAACATGTGATTTACAAACTAAAAGGAAATGAATAATGCCTGCAAACTAACAATTAACTCGACATAAGATAGTTAATGATTTAGGAACACGAAGCGATTCTTTACATTTTGGCATCATTTACATAAAGACACTTGGTGCCACCATTCAACTGTCAGCATCAAGTGAATTCAGTTACATTGGGACAAGCACTTGCTGATTTCGTCTCTACTGCTTACATTTTTAGCAGATTTCTACAGATTTAAGTTATTTCGTATGAATAGAGATAATTTCTCTTTCACCTACCTCCAACAAACTTAAACACTCAACAGTTGCAGTCAGATTTTATTATAATTTAAGCTTATAGTCATATCACAATAATTATATTTTTAACTTTTAAATCCATATTTTCCAGATATAAATAAAATAGAATTAATTTATTTAATTTAAAATATATGATTTGGTTATCAAATTATTAGTGTCTTGTCCCTGTACATCATTTAACAATAGAGTCGTGCCGGTCATCTAAGTAACGCCGTTCTGGGAAAAGTTTTTGAATTGAAATCACGTGACTTCCGGTATATACCGGACGTTTGTATATAATTAATCGGGGCCTCCTACTTCTAAGCTTTCCGCATCTGGTCTCGACTTTCGTCTATATAACACCGTTCTCAAGATTAAGGAAGGACGGCATACAGACACACAGACGGACGACAGTGGGAATTTACAGGTCTACAGTTTTTTCAAATTGCAGCCCAACAAACAACGTTTTGTTTATACAAGAAACACGTCTGTTTCTTATCCTTCTTCCAGTAGATACTATTTTTACAGCATCCAAGATGGTCTCTGCATCTTCATTCGCTCCTGGATTTATAGTGAGTGGTATATATATTAATTTATGAATTAAAGTGAATTTAGCATTTACATCATTTCCCTTCTAGAATCAGAATAGAAGACATTTCTATCAAATTATTGATCTGTTTTGATCCAATGACTTGTTGGATATTCCCTCGAATTATTTTGCTATTGTTATTGATGTTTATTAGAGCAATGATCTCGGTTTATGGGCTGTTTTGCACATAACAGTAGCCATTGGGATATCTCATAGTAGAAGATTTGGACGGCAGAGGCTATGCTATCGATCGCTGCCTGACGGATCTACAAGCGATTTTCCTTTTTTCGATAACATCGCTACTATTTTCCGGTATCAATAAGAATTTTATTCATCTGTTTTTCGACTTTTTTCGGCATTCTTTCTCCAGAATTTCACTTCCTATAATTCCCTAATGCCCCCGAGCCACGAGCAACGTGATTGGTGGAAACGACGATTAGAATATCGACGTATGGATCTTCAAATGATAGAGATCGCATTAATAAAATCAAAGAAAAATTCCTAACTATAAATATAAAAATTATCTACTTCTGTCATTTTTCTCTTAATAAAAATGTAGATTTGATTATCGATTATTCATGAATATTTAGCCGGAGATTTATCATATCATCACAATTATGCGCATATATAAATAAAATTATACAATTTAAAGACGTTAACAATAGTCTATGTGTAATTCTGAAGATTATATTTTATAAAATAATGATTAAAAACGTGTTAAAGACCCGAATCCCGGTATTAAGAGCTTGAATATACATGTTATAGGCTCATGAATATATGTTAAGAATATATAGTAAAAAACCTGTGTAAACCGGAATAGCACGCTATTAAATACAGTAAAACCTGTATGAACCGGAATCGCTTGGTATGTTTCCGTTTTCAGCAGGTTTTTTTTATATATAGGCCTATAAGAAAATCCTTTTCGTTTGGAAGAAATTTTACCGTTTAGGCAGGTTTTCTTTTTATTCAGGTTCCGTTTTAGTCAGGTTTTACTGTATAGACTATATATTTAAAATACACGAATGTATATAAATTTATTCAATAATTAATTAAGTTAATTTACGAAGAATTTATTTCACGATCTTTAAATAGGAAAATTATGTAAATATATTATTAATTTTCCTTTTAATGTTTAATATTATCTTATATTTTATTAAATAAATTTGAAAATTCTATATAATAAAACTTATTAAAATTGAAACTTAGTTATAATTGAATATAATAAATAAAACAGTTTTTTTTTTGCTTAGTCTGTTCATCTGTTTATCCGTTCATATGCTAGATTATTAATGTTTATATTAATATTTTAACAGGTTAAAAATAATATATATTCATTAATAAAATACAATTTAATTTCTTTTCGAATTAAAAATATTGAAAATAATAATTACAATTTTCAAATAATTAATTATAGCTTCAAGTCTTTAATAAATTTGAAATTTTCATTAAATATATATATATAAGAAACTTATACAGTAAAACCTGTCTGAAACGGAACCTGCCTAAACGGAAGAAAGTCTTCGAAACGGAGCGATTTTCCATGCTAAAAAAATACCCTGTTTAAAGCGAAAACCTGCTAAACTGTAAAAATATTTGGTACCATGCGATTCCGGTTTACACAGGTTTTACTGTGGACATAAATTTAAAAAAAATTCCTTTTAAAATACTAAAACAAGCTTTTATTGATTAGAAACTTTATATATATATCAGTAAAACCTGTGTAAGCCGGAATCGCCACAGTACCGAATATTTTTTAACGATTTGGAAGGTTTTCGTTTTAACAAGTTGTTTTTATCACAGAAAATCGCTCCGTTTCGAAGAATTTTTTTCGTTTTATTCAGGTTCAGTTTTAGACAGGTTTTACTGTAATAATGTATAAAATATAACAAAAGTATTATTTATTTTAAGTTTAAATTTAATATAAAAATATTTTAAAAATATATACAAACAAACAAAGATTCTCTTCTTATTTTAAAAATTACATTTCTTTTTATTTTTTTAAAAATACAAAACTTGTATATAAACACTATAATTTTTGTTTATTTGGAAAAAATATATATATATATATATATATATAGTTATATTTTCTAACATTTATTCAATATGAAAAATGGATTTTTTGACAGTTTTATTGACTTTAGATTTATGTTTTTATAAGTTTAACAAGCATTCTCCTAAGCGCGGATAGAAAACATTCGACCTTCTCAATGAAAAAAATAATATAAAATATTAAAAAATTGTTTAACTTTATTAAAAATTACTTTTTTAATTAAAAAATTTCTCATATTTTCAAAGTTTAAACGTAGTTTTCCGCGGTGGTATTCATAATATTGGACTAGGACTCACCCAACCACCGAATGCCTTCTCTAAATCGACAGCAACTGCTATACTTAGATGATCGTTGTACATACCAGAAACAATTTGTACTCCCAAAGGTAAACCCCTATTGTTCAAGCCTAGTGGACACTGCGTAACAGGCAAACCCAATGCATTAAACAGACAAGTATAATAGATACCCATAGGCTTTAGTATGGAGTGAAAATGATAAGGTGCGGGTTCTGGAAAACTTGGCATTATAAGCACGCAATTCTCTTCTAGTAGGTCCTTTAATTCGTTTTTGATGTCCGTAAACATGCTCATGTAGTAAGAATGACCTTCGGAATCCACTTCCGGTGTCAACTTTTCGTACAGGGCCAAACTCAGAGCTGGAAGGGTGTTATTCGAACACAGGAGGAACCACTTTAAAAACTCGAAAAATAAATTAATTTCTCCTTTCCTACAAGCCAATTCACTCGAAAATGTCGGAGCTTTCGCACTTTTTGCTTTCTGTGTCCACATTTCTACAGCGTAATTCATCTTTTCTAATTTAATTTTCGTGGGTTTGATCTTGTGGGAGAATTCTAAATAATTTATTACCTAAATATATATTTATATACATATATTTTAGTTTTATAATTGAAAGATAAGGCTTTAAAATGAAATTTACACAACATTAATATACCTTCTTCTGCGCCTCTTTCATATCTGTAGTTAGAGGTTGTAAGAAAGGTCTACATAATTCTTCCACGTAATAAAATTTCACGTCCTTTAAATCCACCTTTAAAATATTTAATTCGTTATAAATTATTGAATAATAATAAAAAGATAATAATAAAACGAATGGAGCAAATCGACTCCGCAGAAAATTCGAGTCACGTAAAGTTTAATATGGTGAAAAAACAATAAAAAGGTTAGCTCCGTACATCATGTCAGACATTAAGATACTTGAGAAGTGATGAAAGAGAAAAATTAGGCCAAAATATATTGTAGAAGTTATAGAGAATGTAAAATTATTTTTTCGGTTAGTTTTATACTTGCAAATGTGGTTTTAAGGAATTCAACAATTAATATGAAAAGGTTTAATATTTTGCATGAGGATTGTTAAGATTAAAAATTATTGATCCCAGGTCAGGATTTATGAGTGGGCATCTTGGGCACGGGGGCCCAGGGATCCGTACAAAACGAAAATTAATTTAAAAAATAGAGAGAATAAAAGATGTAAGAAATTATTTAGCAAACAAAATACACTAGGCTATATTTATAAATACCGTATAAATTTAAAGTGGAGAATGTTATAGTAAAATGTGCACGTGTGCTACAGGGTGCACATAAATCCATTTCTAGTTGATCCTCTATATTGTGGTATACAAAATGAAATATCTTTTAAATCAATTGTTTAGTTATAATAACTAAAAACACTGTTTATAAATATAAAACGAATATAAAAATAACTAAATTTTGATTTTTTTTAAATTTAATTTACGCTGTGTTCTTACTTTATTTAGAAATTACGAAAGATTTTCCTTTATCTCCGAAGCAAGATGACTAATTAGCTTATACGCTAATATCGAAGAGTTAATTTAAAAATTTTCTGAATAAAACGCAATTTTTACCCGTGTATCTAACTTTAATCTTGAAATATTACTCCCAGCCATTATTTTCATCAATGGCAATAAATCAGTTGCATATCTACACATAGGTCCAGTCGATAAGAAATCGCACAGATCTCCTTCTCCAACAGGAAATTTACCAGTCAGTGGAGTAATACCTAGTTATTAAAGTATAAATCATTACGTATCAATTTTTAATATTCGTATATTTAAATAAAAATTGTATAAACTAACCTTTCGAAGGTTTATGGCCGAATATCCCATTATAAAACGATGGTATTCGAATACTACCTACGATATCGGAACCTACACCTATAACGGATGCGGCTGATGCAATTATTGCCCCCTCGCCACCTACGTGTAGTTCAGGAGTCATTTAAATGATGTCACGTTTTATTTTTGCCAGATTTATAAAAGACTCACCCGAGCTTCCACCTACGGTTCGACTAGTGTCGTAAGGGTTGTTTGTTGTTCCATACAAGTTGTTAGAAGACTCCCACCACATACACAATTGGCTAGTGTTTGTGTTTATTAAAGGTATGGCCCCAGCATTCTTCAATAGTGTGACGATTCCCGCATCTTCTGTCGCTTTAATATCTTTCCTGGGCACAAATCCGGAAGTAAACGACATTCCTGTAATATTAATTGCCATTATTTGATATAATTAAATGCTTAATGGTTAAAAATAAGTCAAAAGATAGATGTGATGTCAGCAGAATCGTTGCATGCTCCTAAATCACGTGAATCTTTTCTCAAGTTTAAATGTGTGCTACAATTGGCATACGTAATTTTACAACGCTAACAGACTCTGCTGACAATTCCTGCTCTTGCAATTGCCAAAAACAATACCTTTAACCGCAATTGAATGCTTTAAAGTGAAAGGAACTCCAAGAAATGGCTTCTCTTCTGCTAATTCTTTCTCAGTCTTTTGGCCAGAATGGATCAATTCATCAACTTTCCTAGCTTCTTCCATTGCCTCGACAAATCTGTTGTCAGCCACAGCATTTATTATAGGCTGTACTTCTTTTATTCGATTTATGTACGATTGTATTAAGTCGGTGGCCCTTAGCTGTGTAAAGAAAAAAATATTATTTATAAATTAATTTAAATAATAGCAATGCTAATAGATTAACGGTGCGAAATATAATTCGCACCACAATCGACGTTATGGATGTACGACCGGCCATTTTCTACACCGCGCTACATCACTGGGGATGCGAGTCAGATTTTATATCAATGACGAGGCAGTGCTGCCATCTGTGGACGATAAACAGTAATAGATCTAAATTTATTTTAAATCAATTTTATGTATTTTACTTTATATAAATTAAAATAATTTTTTAAAATATTATAATAGAAATAAATTATTAAAAAAATTAAGAAAAACTTTATTCTAACTAACGTAACTATCGAAGAAAAAAGAGTCAAAGTCGTTTTGATAATTTATATTTTAAAAAAAAGTCAAATTGCTATCGAGATAAAATGTATTTACTATAGAAAAAAAAATNAGTTTAATTTTAACCTAGAAAAAATATATTTAAAAATATTTTATATTATACTGTATATAAAGCACGGGAATAGTAAAATTATAATAAATATTTTAAAAATATATATATGTATTTTTAATATTGTATATAAAGCTTGGGAGTAGTAAGGTTAGGGCCCAAGTATATAACTGGTGTATTTTATCATTATTTAATTAACTAATTGCATAGTGTCTGCAATAATTTCTGCAGTTAATTACACGGAATAAATAACTTAATGACGATTATCGTTGTCTGTTCTCTACAACATGCGCTACATTAATATGAATTATAGTTTCACCCTTCATCTGGACAAAAATTTGTTGACACGAGTTGCTATTTTTACACGAAACGACGGCTTTTAAACATCAAACGAACGGTTGAACGTCTGGAATTTTTGAAAATTTTCCGAGTGACAAAGAATGAAAGAGAAATTTTCTACAGTAAATAAATTTAATTTTAATTAAGTAAACATTTCTCTTACTTTTTTGCTTCGTATTTTAGTAGCCAAACTAACAGCGGGTTCTAGAAGATTGAGGTCCGTTATGGGTGGAATTTCTTCCTTCTTTCCCCTGTAAATTAATTTAAATAATAGCAATGTTAATAGATTAACGGTGCGAAATATAATTCGCACCACAATCGACGTTATGGATGTACGACCGGCCATTTTCTACACCGCGCTACATCACTGGGGATGCGAGTCAGATTTTATATCAATGACGAGGCAGTGCTGCCATCTGTGGACGATAAACAGTAATAGATCTAAATTTATTTTAAATCAATTTTATGTATTTTACTTTATATAAATTAAAATAATTTTTTAAAATATTATAATAGAAATAAATTATTAAAAAAATTAAGAAAAACTTTATTCTAACTAACGTAACTATCGAAGAAAAAAGAGTCAAAGTCGTTTTGATAATTTATATTTTAAAAAAAAGTCAAATTGCTATCGAGATAAAATGTATTTACTATAGAAAAAAAAATGAAAAAAATTCCTTAGATAATCGCAATCTTTTGATAATGAAAAACATTTTTTAAAAATTCGTTAAGCAATTGAAGAGAATAATTAAATTTTATACAGAAAATATACCTTTAAAACGTAAAGCTGAAGATAAATGTTGAAGAAAGAAAGAAAGAAAAAAAAAGCCTGTAATTATATTTAATTATTCTGTAATAGGAAACATAAGTCACATGGAAGATAAAGTTACTTCCTTTTTTGTAAGGAAAAATTAATTTTTCTTTGAAAAATTTTAAGTTATTAGAAAAATAAAACAAAATTATATATTATAATTTACAAATTAATGATTTTATTAAGGATATAAACGTAATAAATTTAGTTTAAAACAAAATATTGACTTCAAGATTATATCGAATTGCATGAATAAAAAGTAGATAAATAAGTAAATTAATTTAATTTTTAAGAAGCTAATTTATTCGTTTATTATTTAATGTTTTAGATATAAGTTTAATAATTATTATTTTAAATTATAATATGCTCTATCTGGGCCTGCAAATAGCCTACTTGCAGTTAGGCAGACAAGCTTAGATAAAGTGAGCAGGGCCTCATTAATGCTCAGACTACCTGGGACGTCGCCTTCTTTGGGGCATCGTCTTACTGTTAATTACTAATATATTTGTATATCTGTATAATGCCTCTAAAAAACTGGGGTCGTGGCCTAAAATGTGTTTAAAACGTCCTTGAACGTGAGACTGAATGCCTCTTCATATAGATCTATCTATATGTCTATACGTTAAAATTTTACAGTAAAACTTCTTTTATTGTTTCATTCATCAATAAATAACTTTGATAATAAATATATAATATTAAATATTTAAATAATGCTTAATACATTAAAATACTGGAAAATTATTTTTAAAACGAGATAAAGTCAATTGAAAATGTGATAATATTCAAGGACAATAACACCTCATTTTAAGGATAAAAACTGATAAATGTTACTCAGGAATCTCCATTATCAATAAAAGAACTTTAGTAGACAATTTTGTATAATATATTTAATAATATATAATAATTAAAAGTATTTTACAGTGGTCTACCCTAAATATTTTGAGAAATTCATGAAATATATCAGATTAAACGTATAAGAATAGCACGGATAAATCTATACAGTGATACAAATGGATCAGGATAGGAAGTAATAAAATTAATCTTAAATTTACAATAATTTATCTATAAAATTCACTATATTTGATTTCATTATCTCCAGAAGAATTTTCTTCGTATTCTCTAGATATTAGTGCAAATAAATCTTGATGGTGATGATGATGAGAAGGAGGAGATAAATCTATGTATAATTTTTACTTCTATTAAACTAGAACAGAATGATCATAATGAAAACTTTAATACCCACGTGAAAGGAAGAACAGCGACAAATTTAGTCCTAGCGGCTGAATTTTTAAGTAAAATTCTCTTGAAAATTGAAACCGCATACCGCATGCAGTATGTATGCCAAATTTGATTTAGAATTATCCAATAGTTCTTTCTACAGAGAGCTCTGAACATCCACTTCTTAATTATGATCACCATGTATATAGCCATAGAATTTAATGCATCCTCATTAAAATTTAATACATAATATTCAATAGTCATCTAAGTTAATTTATATAACTATTAATGCTATCGAATGATTAATTTAAATTCTTGGATAATTGATGCATTCAAATTACCGAAATTAATTTCAATAGATCAAACGCATCAATGATATTAATGCATTTATATTGGAATGTATACTGCAATTAGCTTGCAATATATTCAACTGTATGGTCAGTCAGCCATTTCAATTATTTGTATACTGCAGAAAATTATGCTTTATTTTTATTTATGCTTCTGCACTATAGAAAATTAATAAGTTGATGTACAGTACTGTACATTCTCTTAATTAAATATGTTGATGTCAATTAAGGAACCTTGTTTACATTCTCAATCTTAGGCATTGGAATTAATTAAATTTAAAATTTAATTGTAATTAATATTATATTTGAGAGACGGGTATGAGTTAATGTAATTTGGATGAATGTTAATTGGAGATTGTTGTTTGAATTTGAATTTTCTAATGCTACAAAAATTGTTTTGTAAAATTTTTAAAGAACTTTCTATGAATAACTGGCCCATGTTTAGGTGTAGACACGTGAAGAAGACTCGGAAAATTGCACGTGGCCAGTCAGTTTGTCAGGTGTGAACCCGCAACTATCAATTGTTCAGTGGTTTTATACACTCAGCTTCTAAAGGGCTCAACCTAATATATATACTTTTTCAGTTTTTCCAGTTTCTAAATGCAAGAACCTAATTTAATTGATATTTTGCACTTGAGTTACTTATTAAAGAAACATTCTAATGATATATTCGCTTTAAAGTTTGCTTGATGTTATCATTAATTTAATCCATAAACTGTAGAATTATTTGTCTGGATACAATTACGTCTTTTTACTTATAAATTTACAAACATTTTCCATTTTAAATAATTAAACGTAAAAGCTAATCCATCTTTTGCATCAATTCCTTTAATTAAAAATATATGTTTCTATTTTTAATTAAAAGAATTTTCTTTTGAATTTATCTCCAGTTTATATAATGAAGTTACATTTTAAAGTTAGATAATTGATTATTTAATTAATTTCCCATTTTCTTTATAAGAAATTAAACATTAACTAATTGTTTTTCCAATTAAATAGTAAATATTTTGTTTAACCAAATCTCTTGTTTTCGTACGAAAACAACAGAATCAATATGAAGATTTTAATGAGATTTTTACGCATATACAGAATAAAAATATATTAATTTCTCTTAAATATTTTGATAATTTTGAATTTTATAGATGAAAGTAAACCTTTAAAATAGCAAATATTCTGAAAGATTTTATTATTATTTACCTAAGTAAACGAAATTTCTCCTGTCTAGATCATTGTCCTGAGTAAACAGGAGACTTTTATATTGCTTATAAATTATTTGTAGGTAGGAGAATATAATTATAAATTATTGCAGATATTCCAATTTTCTCTAAAACAATTCCCGAGTTTATCAATCAGATTTTAAAGTATTAAAGAGTAAGTAAACTTAGTAAAGTATTAAAGAGAAGATTAAAGTACATTTCTTCACGATAAAACTTGTAAATCTGACTCTAAACTGAAAATAATTTGATCGAATAATCTTGACGAAACGAATATAAAAGAAAATTTGATTCGCTCCTGTAACAAAATCAAGATAAATGTACTCGGATGCTGTAGAGTATTAATTGGGTTTGTTTCTCATTAAAGTTTTTCATTCGTTAAGAGTGATCTTTATCCGCCATTTTAAGTAACTATTCTAAGATATTACATCTTTAATTAAGGTGAGAACATTTACTCTTGTCGTAAGTAACAAAGTATAATACACCAGAGCCTATCAGAAGAGTCCTTGAACTAGAACGTGAATATCAAATTACACACGTCCCGAATGAAAGCGCTAATGTTACGAGAATAAATCGATACACTAATATATATTTAGCACTTGCTTATTATATTTTAACTGCGTATTTTATACATTTTAGAAATAAATTATGAATATAAAAAATTAAATATAAAAATTTCTCGATTCTTTTGTCGTTAAGCTTTGGTAAGAAATTCCATTCTCAAGTTATCATAAGCTACAAATTAACTAAAATAGTTATGCTATAATAATGGAAGAAGCATAGTTAATTTCCATATAATTAAATGCAATACAGGTATACCTCGCCTTACGTCGGTAATTGGTTCCAGGAGAACGACGTAACTCGAAACGACGTAAGTCGAGGTATACCTGTATTTTCTATGTCTGATGACAAATGTCATTAAATCGGTTCATTACTTTTTGAACTGGAAACATTTTACGTTAACTGAGCCTACGATTTTATTTCAATTGGATTGGATTAATGGGATGAGGCAATGTGCGGAGGAGGGAGGACTTTCTAAGGGAAATTGGCCCGTATTTAGGTGTTAATTTAGTTTACAACTGTATGCAACTTCGTTTCGACATACAATTGTAACCTGACAAGTTTTCAATCAAAGAAATTTTCAAAATGTCAGGCTGGATAACCGGGACTCTAATATAAACAGTATGTAATATAATATGCTATATAATATATATATATATACTATATACATAGAGAGAGAGTGTGTGTGTGTGTATGTATATATTGTTTGCAGTAATCTAAATTAAGGGCATTTAAAATAATAATATGGTTAAGTTTAGAAAAATGTATTTATAAAATAAGTTTTAAACGTATTTATATTCATAATTTTATCTTAAATATTAATTTTTATATCATTCTTTGAAAATTAATAATTAATACTTTTCAGTTATGTTGAGAAACATTTAAATTTTATCAAATTTAGAGATTATATTAAAAAAATATATAAACTGGTTTTATATTATTATAATTAGAGATGAACTTTAATTTCTAGTTGCAAGTGTTTTTAAGAGTGAGAAAAGATAAAAAATGAGATTAAAAGTTTTAAAAAGTTTATCTGAATGATGATAATTTTGGAAACAATTCAGATTGAAAATATATTTAACTTTTCAACGTAATCTTTGTTCTTCGTGTTTCACAATTGTTGTTAGCTGCATCAGTCGATTTCTATAACAAATTACATTCTAGATACAAAAATTATTCTATAAAGCTAAAGGAATATATAGTTTTAAATAGCAATAACTC